TCAGATCCCCTCTCTATCTCCCAGGTAAGACTTATAAGGGCCATAGCCATAGCACAATAATGGTGTTTGATCCACCTGTAGAAGTAAAATCATGATGCCTTTGATATATTCCATGGCTTGTGCATGCGACAGAGGTGAATTTTAATGTACACGAGAGAAATTTGAAAGAAAACATGTATGCAAGCTGGCACACCATTGAGATTCTCTTCCATCTTTAGTTGGCAATTACAGAGAGCACGAAAAAATTGAACATGAAAGATCTAACATTTACTGAGTATTAAAAAAAACCTAAGCCTCCGTTTGGAAAGAATTTATAAACGGTTTAATTTATAAATAGATAGAAATGAATAGTACTCGTGGATCCATTGGAATGTGGTTGAAAATAAAATTTGACAAATTTATATTTATAAATTTTCCAAACGGAGGCTAAATATAATAATTAAAGAGCTTGAGAAATAATGGCTGAATAATGTTGATATCGAATATTCATGTCAATTATGCACAGTAGCTCCATAATTTTCACAATCTCCCAACTTTTTATACCTTTTTTTCTTTTAAGTTTTTGAACGTGGCAGTGTTGTTTCAACGACAGTGCAATCTGTACACGAGGGTACAAAATACTTCTTCAAGATATTTATACCTCTCCCAAAACAATATGTGCTTGATTACCATATTCATAAAGAAAGTCAGCCTAAAAAGCAGACTGACCAGTTATACCTCTCCAAATTGTAGCTTTTTCCTAAAATGAGATAACTAAACAGGCATAAAGTAACCCATCTGACCAACTTCGACACTTTTTAGTTTTGACTGCTACAAACTATCAGCTCAAAAGAAATCTTTCACTAACCATAGCATTGCTCCAAATATAAATTAGAAAGATCAAGAACAATTTGTCAAATAAAAAAAATTGATGAACATTTTCCCCCACCTAGCTTCTCATTTATCAAAATACCACGACTAGTATCTCCCGGAAGAAGTTATATTCTGACAGATAGCATGTTTGGCCAAGCTTATAAGGTGCAACAGTCATTGCACTCTGGGTGCAACAAGATTAAAAATAAACTTGAGTTAGACTAGATTTTATTAGTTTTTGTCAATTAGGGCATCGATTTTCACTAGCTCAGTTCTTGTTCTATAAAAGGGGACATAGGTTTTTTCATTTTATTCATGACATTATTATTGATTATTGAAATGGAATTACATAATTTCTTCCTCTGTTCTCTAAATTTTTTTATCCTCTCCTTTTCTCTTTCTGTGTGAATTCTACATCCACTCCTGTGGCACTGGCAACAAACAAATTAAGCCCTTGTTTGAGCACCATTCTCTAAAAAAATATTTTCTCCAAACTCAATTTGAACTATACATTTTCCTAATAAAATAGTTTTACACTTAAACCCAAAACTTTTCCCCCACTTTTAAATTACACATTTTCCAAAAAAATTAAAAATCGCTATTACAAAATTCATACTATACAATTACCATGGACGTATGTCACTTCCATTAACTCTCAGGATGTTTTCTCTCAATGCCAAACCTGTGTAGAGATATAGCAACCATGCCTGGAGTAAAGAAATTAAGAAGGAAAGCAAAAACTTCTCAGCATACTATAAAAGGCATGACTAACAACAAAAATAAAAACTGAGAAAAAAAAAGACACACTGTACAACCTGATAAAGTTGTACTGGCAATGCAGGCAGACATCCATCCCAAATCCATGACCTTAACATCAGCAACAGCAGTGGGAAAAAAAGGAACAAAAATGACGTTCTATCCTGCCATGAGAGATATTAGACATGAGCAATAGTTAGCAAGCATCTTACATGCACAAATGCTTCGTCATCAAAGAGTTAAGAGAACCATTAGACAAGTGAATGTTTTACACCCCCATCAAGAGACATTTTTCTACAAGAAAGTACCCAAATCAATCAAAATTATAATAGGCCTTTTTTACGTCCATATTGTGACCAGCCAGGCAGGCAGGCAGCCACAAGTCAAAACACACCGTTCTCCCTCTTCTCAGTAGAAAAGCATAAGCATCAGATAGGTTGGAGTTTTTACCATCTTGGGACTCCATGGACCAGGATCTGATTTTATTATAGGGTCAATACAGAAGTATATGTTCTACCCATGAAGGAAAAGGATGGCTCATGAAGATTTTGTGTTGACTACAGGGATAAAAATGGAAAATAAATTCAAATATTTCCTAGAGAAACCAGGAATGCATCTTGAGTATAAGATACAACATCTTTTAGGAACAGTTTGAGACAAACTCGGTATGAAATAGACAGTTTGCCTTGGTGCAATTTAGATTATCAAACAACAAATAGAGTTTTAGTATACTCCCTATATCTTCTTTTGGGATAACATGATAAGCCCCTTGATGACTCTAAGTGGCCTTTCTGCTAGGATGTGACATACCTACAGTGACAATTGATTACCATTGCACTCATTATAAACATGGGGACTAAGTATTTTAGTTTGTTATTGGATCAATACTTTGCCATCATAAAATTATATCCCCAAAATCCAGAATTTAATTGAAAATTTACCTACTAATATATACCTTCAGCAATAACAGTCACTTAAATTAACATAATAGATACAGTTTTCAAGCAAAATATGAACTGTTAAGACATTTTTGGTTGAAATCATACTCTGAACTTATTATATTCCTCCTTCACTTTCATCTGCACATCTTTTCTAGTTGCCCGAACATTAATAGGCCCCAAAAACATCCTCAAAAAGCTTCCTGCATATATAAAAAAAAACTCATTCATTCTCACGTCTATATCAAATCCCGCAGACAAGAACTAAAGAAAATTAAAAAAAAAACACACACACACACACACACACCATGAGATTTGCTCGGAAGAAATGCCGCTGCATCTCCTTCACTCAAAATGTTTTTCGCTTTAATCAGCTCCACATCCAACTAAAAACCAAACACAAGATCAGAAATACACACACACTGCACATGCATGTATAATATTACTCTACTATTTACTTTATCGTCGTGTTTGGAGTTCCAGAGGGACTGGGTGTGGGAGTCGAGCGAGGCAACGCGCTGACGGAGCTCATCTTCTTCGTGGGAAGTGCGTGAGATTAACGCCGCCGCCGTGTCCTGCAATTCCCTGGCTTGCTCCACCAGTCTCGAAATATCGTCTCCGTCCACTCGATCGTCCGGCGAATCTCCCATGGATGCAACAGTAGACGCGAAAATTATTGGAACTTGATTAGATTTAGACGCTACAACAAGAATTTAATGACTGTTTTTGCAGAAGAAGGGGTGGAGTAAAATTGGAATCAGAGAATCTAGAAGAGACGAATGGTGTTGAATTCTTTATGCTTAATTTTTTAAGAGCAATTTGCACAATTGGTCTCCAATCTATTGCTGGAGTAGCAAAATGGTCCTTAATTTTTACAAAGAATATTTTATCATCGATGAGTTTGGGTGACAACATAATTTACTTCAAAATCTAAAATAATCACAAATCAAGGAGCAAAACGAAATCTTACAAAGTTAGATGAGATCGAACAATTTTTACTTGTTTTTAAACATTGAGGACTAACTTACTATTAAAGGAATAGTTTGAACACCAGTAGTGCAATGATGGCTAGTCATTTCTCTCTTTCTATCTGCCAATTTCATAATAGTTACTAGTTAGGTTTGTAATCATCTATACAAAGAGCATGTATGACTTAAAAATTGTATTTATAGGTAAGTAATTGAATATTAAAAATAAAATTAAATTTGAGAAAACTTCAATTGGGGTCCTTGTATCATGTAAAATCTCCAAATAGATCCTAAACCTTCTACCTGTCTGTAACAAATGGATCCATAACCTTTCATTTTCTAGCTGTATTTTCTGAATGCAGTCAACTGATGTATAAATCGTTCAATAACGATGTAATGGTGAGTGCAAGGGGAAAAAAATGACAATAACAAGTTAACATAATTGAATTGTGCCCGGCCAACAGTATTCATTGGTTTGTGGTCCATCCGATTCACATCTTTTGAAAATTAGCATGCACCGTGTTTTCTTATTGGCCAGTTTGAATCGATCCACCTATTTTGACACATCTATATATGATGAAGAAGTCGACCTTCCATCTTTGTATCAAAGTTTATTGCAAAAGATTTTCGAGGACGACTAGTCTAGTTGCAAAATTTGTTTTTTTCTAAAAGTAGCATTCAAGTTCTTGATTCAGAATAAGAAATTTTGCTTATATTGTTAAACAAAAAAACATGAATGAATTTTGTCCACACAATTTGTGGGCTCGAAGCTCATAAGAAAGCCCCTTATTTGGCACATTGACTTGTTTGTTGGCAATATGATTATGCTGGTTCAAATTCGTGCTGACATAATAGTTCGTCAATCTACCATGAGATATTATAATCTCCACGAATTGTCCAGATCTCACAAGTGAATCGAAAGTTGGATCTATATTGAGTCTCACTCGAACTGTCCCATCTATCCTCCTGAGGAGAGGTTTGGTTTCAAACCTCGGTTTGAATCTGAGTCAAATAGCAATATTGGCAAATAGCATTTGAAGCCATTGCTTGTTATTAGAATTAATGGTCCATCAATGTAAAGAGGAGGATTGAATCAAGATACAAACTTGTAATATAGAGGCACTAATTGACAAATCCTTAAAACTATTAAATGTGATGCATAGGCGCGAGTCAATGATTTGCACGTAACAATAGTTTTGTTTTATTTCCCTGAAATGTGTCAATATTTATTAAGCAGTTGAGGTATCAAAATGTGTTAGACCATCCACATATAGAGCCTTGCACGTGAAAGCACGGCCTGGCCTCTAACTTTCCGTGGCATGGGTCGGCCGGTACACTCGAACTCATATTTTCCGAACTTTGTGCTAGTGTAAAAAGTAATTCTGTTTTATTCCATAAATGTTTAGTATCATTCAGGTCGACAATAAATAGAAAGAAGAAAGAACTTCAACTAGAAATGGCTTCAATGATAAATTGCTTTAGTCACTCAATTCTGATGTGTTTCATGCAACCATTTCCCTGGATTCTTCCACGGTTGACACCACAGGTTTTTCTCCGGGTTTAGCACTAAACATGGCCCTTTCTCCTCTATGTACCACACACAGTTAAGACCGCATCTTTCGGTTTCCATTTTGTGATCGTAAACAGCATAGTTTCCTGAACCGAATTGAGTAGTGAAAGTGCAGAAAAACTTGGTATTACCCAAAATGTTGGGCACAAAACTGAATTCAAAAGAGCGGTCGTAGGCCAGATTGCGTATTCCAAGATCATTATCTCCAGAATAACAATGAATCGTAAGAGTACCTTTCTCCACTCTACCTATAATAGTCACATGCGACTCTGGGTACGCTTCTAATAGGGTGACGAAGAGCAAGTTCACTGACAGCATAACAAGTTTAATATCGAATGAACCCATCATTTTTTCCCCTATTTCTTGTTGATTTGCGATGAATTTGATGAGGCACGACCCTCTTGCTCTTGCAATTTATAGGGGACACGGTTGTGGGTGGGGGCAGGGACAGGGAGGTGTCACTCATCAAATTTATTACTGCATTTACCATTTTAATAACAGCATGACAAACTAAAGCTGGCAAAAAACATTCAAAGGATAAAAATAAATGTCTTTTGTGTGCACATATGATCATCTCTAATCAAAATCTAGATTACTTGAAGCCATAGCCTAAATAATGCTTATGATTCAGACAATCTGCAATCAAATTCTACATTACTTGAAGCCATAGCCTAAATAGTGCTTATGATTATGATAGTCCTCTAATCAAATTCTGGATTACTTGAAGCCATAGCCTAAATAGTGCTTATGATCCTGATAATCTCTAATCAAAATCTTAGATTACCTGAAGCTTGTTCGTGTAATTCCGCAAGTATACAGATCGTGACAAGTAATAAAGTGGATGTTTGAGTTTGAATATCGTTCTCACGGAGACTAATATTTACTATCAATTTTTATTCCAATTCCAGCTTCAATCTAAATTGATGTGGTAAAAACTTAACAAATCAAGTATTTATGTTTTAACTAAATTATACTAACCTAAATTGAATTAACCTATAACCTAATTTGTGGAGAACTATTGGGATTAAGTGGTTAAGAATTTTGATTTAATTTAGGTTATTTAATATTCAACCAATCCAAGTAAATTCAGCCCATTTTCCATATCTATTAACATCGAATTAACCAATTTTATGTGGTAGACACTCTCGAGTAAAACTAACTATTTTCATATGCTCGAATTTACTATATCTCTGTGTAAATTCATACAAATGTAAAAGCATTTAATTTTAGGAATTTGATAATGATTGAATAACCTATAAAAGTATCTCTCAATCTCTTATAATACCTATGTCATTTATTGCACGAGTTAGAATCATACATTACCTCGATTTTCCGTACTATCACTAAATCAATCAATTGGTGATCAATCAATTGACGCATTAAACACACATTAAATAATTAACACATAATCAAGTTGCATGAAATTTTTGGAATTAATAAATATTAAACCTAAGCTACAATATTCATCATAACAGCCAATTATTTATCCAATCATACTTAAGAAAATAATTAATAAAAAGATGAAAAACATCACTGGTTCAATACAAAGAATAAAGAAAAGAATTTTAGCAATATATTGTTGTTCCTGGAATCCAATTCCCAACGATGGATCGTCAATTTCCTCTTCCAAGGTTGTATATGCTCTTCAACCTTCAAATCTCAAATTTAGATACAAATCTTCTTCAACCTTGAGCATAGTGTTCGTCTTGATAGATGATGCCTTCTTTTTCACACATTTGAGAACACTATACGATTCGGCATATACATGAACCAGATTTCGAGGTTCATTTGGAACTTAAACCATAGAAATCAAAAGGTGCATTTCCTGTCCAGATATCTCATGGACCGCGCCATGACAGTCGGTAAGTACTCTGTCGCTAATCCCAATGAGGGTTATCCCATTCCTGACACCTACAAGATCACTGCTCATGCAAGCCATTTACCCAATTTGGCTTAATATTTTTCTAAACTATATAGTAAATTAATATAGGTTACATTGTATTTTGAGCAAGACTTGATTTGTTACTGAAACATAGGTTATCACGATGCGGATTGTTTGGCTTCTGGGACTTCGCCGTTCACTGTGAATGAGGAGTGATTACATGGCTTGTTTCTAGGCACAAGATCGTTGGCCTGCGCTTACGGTGGCAATCGAGTCCGAGAGCAAATATGGTGATGCTGCTAAAGATTGGTCAAAGGTTGCCAAGAAAGGACATATCGAAGTAAGAATTCAATTCTTTAAAATGGCAAGATGTGACCAGAGATTCAAAAATAGTCGTTACAATTTACCCTTTTGCAAATCGAGTGACATATACGACACCACTCTTCTACTGAAAATAGCCCTCTTTATGTATCATGTACCTTGCCTGCTTTGGTAGCAAGTGCTCTGGTAGAAGTTGGTCAATGAAACAATTTTGAGGTTGTTTGACAAAGCTTTTGATAACATTTTAGCAAATTTTGATGAAACGTCCCAAAATAAAAGTTAAAAGTTATGGGTTCCAAAAAATATTATATTAAAATTAAATATTTACTTTAACCTACTTTTTAGCACCATGGGTACCACACTAAATACCTAAATCAACTTAGCAAAAGCCAACACAAAAACTTTAGGGTTCGTTTGATTGCAAGGG